GTCAGAATTCCTACAAATAAACCCAGACACGTAAATGACAGTGACATAATATTATAGCATTGTCACTCAGCACAAATAGTTTCCTACTGCCCAGATTTGCAGTGGGGTGTCTGAAGTTGTCCTAATTAACACTGGAGAAAATTCCTGGAGGCCCCTGTTGTTTCAATAACATGTTTTGCCTCTGACCCACATTTCCCCTATGATAGTTGTAACAAAAACCATTTTGAAAACATGCAGGGGGCTGGGGATGTAGCTCAGTGGTTGAGCACTTGCTTTGCATGCGTGAGACAGTGGACTCGAGCCTCAGCACCACAAATAAATAAATAAAGATATGTGTCCATCTACAACTAAAAAAGAAAAAAGAAAGAAAGAAAATTTTTAAAACCCAAAACATGCAGGACTGAGGCTGTAGCTCAGTGGCAGAGCACTTGCCTAGCATGTATGATGCACTGAATTCAATCCTTAGCACCACATAAAAATAAATAAAGGCATTCTGTCCATCTACAACTACAAAAAAAAAAATTGAAAAAAAAAAAAACATGAAGGGCTGGGATTGTGGCTCAGCAGTAGAGTGCTTACCTAGCATGAGTGAGACTCTGGGTGTGATTCTCAGCACCACATATAAATAGAAATGTTTGTTTCTTATGTACTGGAACTCTGCAGTTGGAACCATATTCTTAGTTAATGGTTTGACTCTGCAGCTATCCACTCATACTCCTCGATATCATTAGCTCTGTTAGTCAGGTTTCCCTTCTGAATCCTCCAACTAATTTGTGGCAGAAAGTCAGTATTGTTTTTTGCATTGAAATGAATAACCTCGATTTCTTAAAATAACTAAATTCCAAATATATTATTATTACTTTATCCTTTGTACCCACTGGGTTCCTTGTGCATTCCCTTGTTAACTTGTATCCAAGCAGTAATGAGAACGCTACAGAATTCTCCTTTACCACAGTAACTGTTGCTTTGGGTCTTTTGTTGAAAACCAAAGGTTTACAGGTGATTGGTCGTGGTGCCTGGAGCAGTAGGATCCCACTGCTTTAGAATCCTCATTAAAAAGATCATCAGAAGTTGAGCTATTCTCACTCAAGGAAAACCTGGTTGCCTTTGGACTTGACTGTTCCATAATGACTGGCTTTCTTTGGAATATTCTCTGTGATACTATGTGGCAAATTGGATTTCTCATTGCTAGTGTGGGAGTTTCAAAGCCAAATGTTACCTTCTCTATTGTTCCAGTATTAGCCAACTTGCATGAAATCTTCAGTGGAAAAGGTTTCCTGTTCCTGGTCAATATATGTATTTTCACAGAGAATTCTGTGAGACTTAAAATGTGCACCCTTCACAGAGTGCTTGGTCCAGCTAATGGACTCTGAGGGTGCATGGTAATCTTGACCCACAAAAATGAGGACTTGTTCCTCATTTAGGTCTTTTGACCTAAAACTTGAAGACTGCTATGAACCTTATGCAAAACTGAATTATTTCAATGATTTCAGATGGCTGAGACCCAATAGAAACATTTTAAACATGATCACTCAAAATAAGAGTCACCATCCTAAGAAGCGTGACAGTTGCATAAGCAATGGTGTAGCTAAGGTCCCAAGGTGTAGAGGTGAAGAGCAAGAGGAGCATGTCCAGCGGCAAAGAGCAGGCTCAGAGTCAGGTACAAATCACAGCCATGGTGCCTCTTGGTAATGTGACCTTAGACAAGTTACTCTGCATCTCTGAGTTTCAGGTTTTGAAGCTCTCAAATGCAAATGATAATGTTATATTAAGGAAAAAATGAAATATTAATACATGTATAATGCCTAGCACAACTATAATATGGAACTAGAACATAGCAAATGTTCAGTGTATGGGAGTTATTGTCCACTATCTTCTGTGAGATGAATGAGGTCATTTCTGATAAACAGAAAAAAAGGAGCATTACCCACTGTTCTTAATATAACTTATCAGTCTATGTTAATTTACTACCATTTTATCTACCCACACTCTCCTTGGTTGTTGAATAGGAGGCAGCAGTGGAGCACCAGTACAGAGGGGGAAGCACCTCACTTTCCCTCCCATTAGAGATTAAACAGTGTGGTTGAGACCTTTTAAAGTAGGTCTAATATCAAGCTAGGAGCTAGAAATCAAACACATTCCTACCAGGATAAACTACTTTAATGAGAGATCTTCCAAGGCTACCCAGATCTCTTTATGTAAAGCACCAGCTTATTTTTTGACATGATTAACTTTATGAAAACGACCAAGTCCTCATTTTTGTGGGTCAAGATTACCAGGCACCCTCAGAGTCCATTAGCTGGATCAAGCACTCTGTGAAGGGTGCAAATTTTAAGTGCTTTCTATTCTCACAACCTTATTCTCCATCTTCCCAACACTGGATGCTGCCATTAAAATTTCCTCATACTCTAGATGAGAAAACCGAGATCAAAGGAGTCACTTGCCCAAAATTGAGCTGTGGAAGAATAAATGAAAAGCAACAATAGGGGTTGCATCAGCTCAATTTTACCAGTTGTTTGTTTTTTAGTGCCAGTTTGTCAAAATAATTTGGAGTGTCTTTATTACAATAACAGTATTTCTTAGCAGGACTCAGGGTCCCAGGGTAGCACCGTCAGCACCAGGTTCAGTCACCTCCTGGGAGAAGGCAGTGGGAATTTTATGGGTGGGATTTATATCCAATAGAAGCCTTGGGCGAAGTAATTCAGAATAAGAATAAAAGGGAATCAGAAAACATAGTGTACTTAGACTTGCAAAATACCTTTGAAAAGGTTACTGTTGGATTTTTCTGAGATGGGGGAATACTTTGATCTTGATGCTTAAGCAAAAGAAACAATGCCAGAATGTAAGGGCATTTCTGCGGGTCGTATAAATAATGCTGCCTGCAAGTAATCAGCACTGGGACCACACTTACTTAGCATATTTATAAATCATCTGAAAGGAGTACATAGTGAAATTTCCAGATTTGAAAAAAAAAACAAAAAACTGCTAAGCTCTTCCAGGTAGTCAAATGCCAAGCCAGTTAATATAAATGCAGAAAGACAATGCAGGGATACGTGAGTGGGCTGAAGGATGGCAGGTGGGCTTCTGCATGGACAACCGTAAAATAAGGAATTTAAGAAGAAATAATTCAAACCATTTCCCAACATTACAGGGTCTTGAACTATCAGCTATTCCAAAATTAAGAGATTTTATAGTTAGTGTACATCTTTCCCCTAGTTACTCCTACTGCAGCTGAAGAGCCAGACAGAAATTAGGTGTGCTTAGAAAGGACATTTTTAAAGTGGGCATGGAAGGCAGAAAGCGGCCTCCTGCTCAAACATACAGCCATTGGTGCACTTATGCCTGTGATATTGTACACCACGTTTTCAACTAATCTTAAAGAGTTGTAATAGGGTGGGAGATGGCCCACAGAAAGTCAACTAAAATGATCTGCGGGAAAGAGGAGCTGCTTTGGGGAAACAAATTTGCAAAGATTAGGATTTATCAAATCATAGAAATAAGGTAGATGTAGCCATTTACCTTGGTTAAGAGGCAGAAGACAGAGGGGTGGGTGGAAAAGGCAAAGGCAGAGTGCTGTTTAAAAGCTAAACCAATTTAGTCGGAAAGGCTGACAAATAGGCAAATAAAATTCAAGGTAGCACAGGATACGTGTAAAGAATTGCCTACCCCTGTGCCTTAAAACTTATAAAGAAGGGGAAAAATTTCACAATCAGCAATGACTTTGGAAACCATTTACCCAACAAGAGTTGTTCTATGCCAGGACCTGGGTAGGAAAAGGGTAAATACCTTTTTTTTAATGAGTGGATTTACAATATGTTGTTTAAAAAAACTCAGGTATATTTAGAGATCTGCCCAAACTTTGCAGTATATACTTTTGAGAAAGATGAGTTTTATAATCAGACAAACTTGATTCAGACAGAGCCAGCATGTACTAGCTCTTGGGTGAGCAACTTAACGACTCTGTGCCACAGTTTCCTCATCTGCAAAGTGAGATGCTGGGAGGTTGGGAGGGGTAGTATTTGTAAAGCACCAGAACAAACTGGGGATGGAGGCTCCCTGCAGTTCTCAGTTCCCTTGATGTCTCCTGGACAGGTGCCTTTGCAGTCAGACTAAAAATCTTGTCCCAGAGAGACTCAGTCAAGTAGGCAGTGTTCAATTCTAACTCTAGTGTTGCTGCCTCCATCTTAATTAATATCCATTCTTTCCTATTCATTGAGCTGTTCTTTTGAGCATTGCTTTAGGTTGTGGGAAAGAATTAAGGATAAGCATATCCTAGTGCCCTGTTCTCAGGGAGCACACATTGGGAGGGGTTGCACTAAGCCTGTAAGTAAAGTTATTTCAAAGAATGATACAAGAAGGTCATAGGGTAGAATACGCTGGGGGCTGGGGGTGAAGCTCTTTGGTGGGCCAGCAGGGAAAGTCCTTTCTGTGGAGATACGTTTGAGCAATGGGAGGATGAGACGTCTCTGGTTATCCCAAAGCATTCCAGGCAGATGGATGGGCAGGGCTGGAAGCTCCAAGGTGACAATGAATATGGGGTGTTCAAGGCATGGTTCTCAGGCCTGCATAACAGAGATCCTGAGTGGAGAGGGGGAGGCAAGGACATGGATAGAGACAGAGGGAACCAGACCCCTTTGAGGCCAGGAGAGGGCTCAGATTTTACTCCAAGAGCAATAGGAAACCATTGGAAAGCTTTCAGCTGGTTAGTGGTAAGAGTTTGTATTTCTGAAGGGTCTCAAGGCTGCTGTGTAAAACGGGACTCTGGGCAGCAGGAATCCAAGGAGAACCCTCACTGCTTCTTCTTTCCACCCAGACCTGCTGGCTGCTACTCTTTCCTACCTTTCTGGACCTGAGTGTCCCTCTGCCTTCACACTCCATCCCTCACAGGGGAAGAGGGCTAACTTTGCACAAATCTTTTTGCACTCCTCATGTTTTAAGACATATAAAAATGATTTCTTTTTCTCAAATGAAATAGTTAACCCAAATACATGTTGTTTCAGGTTTTAAAAATCAATTTGATTGGCCACAGGAAACGCATTTTGGCATCTCTGGGAGACAGGCTGCACGAGGATCCTCCACAGAAGCCCCCTCGGTCCATCACCCTCAGGGTAAGTGCCGCCATGTTCATTTTGTTCTCTTCCCCTCCCCCCAATAATTATTTTGTGCAATAAAATGACTGAAGCAATAGATCAAGAAATATAGGCTGTTTTCTATGTAGCTTATCTGTATAAAAAAACAATCTTCCTTTAAAACAGGATTTGTCTTTCTCAGTTACTTAAATATATGTTTTAGAGATTTAGACATTTATCTATAATGGAATTCAGTCTGTCAAACCACGCCTCTAAAGAACCACACCTGTATCCCACATTCCCATCTACACCAAGAGAGAGGAAATTAGTTTTCTGTGAGACTCCTCAAGCCCACAGAAAGGAAATCGATCAAGGACCACAGTTAAGTAAAGATCAATTTAAATTTAACCTCAGGGTCTTCTGTTTTCAAGAAGTGAAAATTGGCCATTTTTACTCACTTCAAAAATTAAGAATAGAGAATCCAAAACGTTATTTCATAAATCATATGTATCCCTTTCAGCTACATTTTAGAATTATGGGGTAGAAAACCCAGAGAGAAACCCAGAAGGTAAAGTGGAAGGGCAAGGAGGACAAGAAGGAAGGGGTAGAGAGAGATGATTCCAAGCAAATGGCTGTGGCAGGGAGTCGCCGCCAGCTGCTGGTTTCATGAACCCCACAGATCGTTTCTAAAATTCATCAAAAAAGCCAAGATCTCTCTGGCAAGTGAGAGAGTCCCCACTTGATTCTCTGTGTTTAGTCTGGTACTTGCTCGATTCTGATTCCCTTCCTGCAGGTATCAGAAAAAGTAGCCATAACAAGCTGAACAGAAGCGTGGCCCTTAGACATAACTGCCCCTGTGAACCGCCTCTTATGAACTGCAGCAAACCGCAAGCGAGCGGCAGGGCAGCCAAGGGTCAGGCAGGGCAGGAGCCGTTAAGATGCTAAGTGTGACTGCGCTTTGAATAAGAAGAAAACATACAGAGTTTTCGAGGGATGCATAAGAATTGTCTTCAGGAGGGAGCCAGGAGGAAAAGCCATCACTTGGGGAGCTGGGATATACTACTTAAGGACTTGGGAGCAGTGAAAGTAGAAATAGGACTCATTTTTCCCCTTCCAGAAGAGGAGCCTCCTGTAAACTGGGTAGAGGATGATGAAGCTAGAAAGGGCTTATCCACCCGCCCTGCCCTCCGTTTGCTACATGGAAGGGGAGGAAGCCATAGGCACCATCAGTGTGGTCATGCTGAACTCCCAGCTACACACTCTGCTCCCTGGCCTTTCCCTTTTAGCCTCTTGCTCTGACTCCCCAGAATAGACTTAAGGGAACAGCAAACTGATCAAAGACAGAGATTCCCAAGCAAAAGTTTAGGACCTAAATCTGGGCAGGGAGGTCCATAACATGTCAGGGAGAAGTGGTCTACAGATTAGGCATGATCCCAGTCCTCTTCTTACCTGCCAACGCTAGAGCCCAACCTACTGCCTCCCCTTGCCTTACACCTGGCCAGTTTCCAGCTTGAATTGTCTTTGCCATTGAAAAGTATCCTCTGTCATATATGCATTGCTCTGCAGTCTGTATGTCGTGTGACATGCTGTGTTGCCATTGTGTCCTCTTCCCGGTCCTGTTGTCAGACCACTCTTTGGTGGAGGATCAAAACCCATTGGGTCCCATTTTAGCTTCTCATCATGGCACCTACCATGGTGAAGACACACTCCTGCAGTTCCCTTGTAAACACATGTGATAGTGTGCCGGGTGCCTGGCAGAGGTGGGCCTCCCTCCTGAGGTCATCCATGGTGCTGGTTTAAGAAAACAGAGCCTTATTCTTTGTACTTTAAACTTTTGACCGGAAATACTAGTGAGGGGTAATGTTGACTTGATAATGCCATTAATAAAATAAACAGTGAAATATCATCCATTCCTTTCAGTTGATTTAAAAAACGACTCCCCACCCCCCACAGTTTGTCTTGTCAGTATTTCGCAGTTTTGAAACCAAAGGTGAGCCACAAAAACATGGTATTTATTTCATGATGTATTTCCATTCAGGAACCCAGTGGTAATCACACTCCTCCTCAGTTGTCTCCATCACTTAGCCAAAGCACTTACACCACTGGTGGCTCCCTAGACGTTCCTCACATTATCATGCAGGGCGATGCAAGGAGGAGAAGAAATGAAAACTACTTTGATGATATTCCCCGATCAAAACTGGAGAGGCAGATGGCCCAGGTAAGGTGTTCAAAAGCCTCTGTGATGTTTTGCTTTCACCTGTACCAGGTAATGCACTCAAATATTGAACAGTAGCTTATAATGGATGCCTCTTGTCCATGCCTAACTGGAATTTTACCATTTTATAAAGTGTCCTTCATTCCCTGCTCTCTTGAACTAGCCTGGAACAGAGTTTTCCAAGAGAGGAATGTATATACATATCATTGTTATTCATTCCTACTGAACAAATCATGCCTGATGTCATTGCACCCCCAAGTCTTTGCTCTAAAGGGAATAATAGTGTGTCAGAATCCAGTCATCATAAAAATAGGTAATAAAACTCTAAATTTTAAAATGTTGTTTGGTCGGATAATAGGGCAGAAGTTGGAGAGGAGACTAACTCCATATAATGTTAATTTCCTCCCAAGCTGACATGTTTTTATAGACTTGTGCTACTGGGACTAGTGGCATTATCTCCGTCACCTTGAATAGTTGATATTGATAGTGCTGCCTGACACAGATGATTGAAAAGAGGGCTCTGTCACTTTTAGACCTTTCCTCAGAAGATTCAGTAGCCATAGCTAAACAGTGGTTCTATTCTGAAGGTACATTAGAGGGTTAGCTATCTTTGCAGCTTTGCCCTGCGATTCAATGATCTGATGTATCGACAATTATTGGCAGAACCAACTCTTTTCATCCTCATTCTGAGTTCAAAATGATGTGCTCAGAGTCTCTTTCTGCCTCCCACACCTGAGATGAGAATCTCGAGGTGAAAATTTGACTGTAATTGCTTTGCCTTGGTTGTTAAAGATTTTTCTCAACTGTTTGGTGAGATTCTGTTTTTAAAAAGCTTTTGATAAACATTCCGCACTGCAGCTCACAAAAGAAAAATGTGAAGAGAATGTTCTAGAAACCATGGCTATTCTGCCTGTAAATGCCTTGGAGAGAGAGGAACTAGAATACTGTCTCCTTTCCACTCTCAATATTGAATCATTCTCAGGGAGTGGCATTGTTGGGATTATGGATAATTTTTTATTGAAGGGAGATGGAAAATATAGGACAAATAAGAAAAGAATAATTCTCCCAATTTCTGTTGTTATGTATTGTCTTTAAATCTTTATTATGTTTTCAATGAAGTTCTTTTAATAAGGAGTAGGAAAGCTTTCCCCCCAGGCTATTCGTTCTTTTTCTGCTATTTGTTAGTATTTGTGGATCACATACATGGTTCAGTATCTTCAGTGACAGCATTTCAGGGACTCAGCTTATTTTAACCTTGAACCATATTGTCTTCATGTATTAGTTCAAACCTGGACTTTCCTGAGCCCTCGTCTTCCCTGGGGAAAGCAGTATAGTTGTTTAATGAGCATTAGCTATTATTGACTGTGTCAGCTTCAGTGACAGAATTACCTGTCTCAGCTGCTCCTATAATTTATGAAATTACTCCACATAGGGCAGTTTTTTTTTTCCCAAAGAAGAATTAATTATTCTTCTGCCTGTGAGAGATAATCTATCAGGATTGCTCCTTTAATTTCTTCCAGAGGTTCCCAAGCAGGGACAGGGGTACTTTCTGAACAGCCCAAATCTTAGTCCTAACACTGCAATCATAAATGCATACCTTTTAGCAGTTGTCTTACCTTCAGAAAATTGAATGAACTTTCATCTGCCCAGGTAAAAAAAGCAAAAAGCGGAGTGAGATAAGCAGGCTGATGTGATGCAGTGAGCTGTATCGCAGCTGCGTGTGTGCTTGTTTACACGGAGCCAGCTAACTAGGGTCGAATGACTGATGCAGACATGGGCTCCATCAGCAACCAAGAGCTTATTAGAAGCTTTCTAAAATCCTGCAGTTCAATACAGCACTTTAGCTGCAGAGGAAATAGGAGATGGCACTACAGGAATCTGATCAATAAGAAAAAAGGATTCTGGGATCTTTAGATTGTGTTAATTGCAGTTTTTAAATTTGTTTTGAGAATGTCCTTACTCTGACAAAGCAAAAAACCATGGAGAAATGAATTTATCCCTCTTAAAAACAGTGTCATTTCAAAGCTTTAACCTGTCAAAACATGGAACACTCGGTCATTTTGTTGTTGAACAGCTGTATTCATGCGACTTTTCAACCTCGCAAGCACTCAGTTGATGTTTTTTCTTATTTTCTTTATTCTTCTAATAATTTTTTAAATCATTTGCTTTTTAATCATCTGAAATATTGGCTCTAGACCATGTTTTTCCCTGGAGTTATATGTTAAACCAATAAAGTTGTGTCTTCCTAAAGACCTGAATTAGCAATTAAAATCCCCATAAGCATGCAGCTCCCTAGTTACACCTCCTCCCAACCAGAGCTGTGTCTGTGGCTTCTCTCCAGAGGTTGCTCCCAAGAGGCTTACTGTAGCTTGGTTAATGCTTGCCTAATCCACCTCTATTTCCCACTAAAATGCAGAAGTCCACCTTCAGGCTTGCTTTCTTACCTGCTAAAAGAAAGAAGAACTCAGTTAAGAGAAAAATCACCAGGACAGATTGATGTTCTTGGAAACCCTTCCGCTTCTGCAGGTTCAGCTGAGCTTGCCCTGGAGTGGTTTGGAATTCTAATCCTCGGCCAGAACCCCTCAGCTCCTGGTGGCGGTGGTAACCCACAGGAGTTTTGCCTTATGAAGGTCTACTTCACAGATGTTTGGGGGTGCTTTACTTAAGTGAGAAAACAATGCTGAAAGTTCATCAATTTAATGTCCATTCTACCTGTTAAGTTTATTTGTTAGCAAATACTTAAAATGTTTTCCCCTATTCATGATAATTATTATTCAGTGTTGTTTAACTGCTTGTTTTTAGTGTGAACCAATATTTAAAATACCTGTCTTGGAATACAGGAGATTTGCTAATATTTGACTGTCATTTGCTTTTGTTCTGGTATAAGCAATATTCAGGAGTTGTCTTAAGAAACAAAACTGAGCTCAATGCTAGTAGCATATTTTCAACCACTGCATGTAATGATGTAGACCTATCTGGACAATAGGCTTCCTACTATGCTGAAAACATAGCTTCTCTGGCCTATAATTCTAAGTTGGTCTCATTAGCCTAAAAGGTTCTGAGGTGCTTCCCCATTCCCCTACCCTAATAAGTGAATATTGCACTCATATTTATATAATTATACCTTAATGTGCATAGTGCTTTTAAATTTCTAGAGTATTTTTGACATCTGTTTATCTCATTTTAGCATGAACAAGATGTCTTCCACACTGTTGATGTGCACTTAGCACATGGCAGATGAGCATTTAATTCTGGGTTCTGTGGAAATGAGATAGTAAATATAAATATGGGAAAGACACCAGAAGGAAGAAACTATTTTCACTATTTAGAGCTTAATTGCAATCCTTAGAAGTTTCCCTCAATGATGAGAAGTCAAAGGACTCTTCCAATGAATAAAGGAGGGTGATGGAATTAATAAGGTTTAGGGACCAATCCTCCTCCGACCGATGAAAGAAGGAAACAGAGTTTTCAAATGCTGAAGCTTATGACTATTGATAGAAGACTTTGATTTATGGAAATGCATATGAAAAAGTGAAATAGTATGTGTATTTTCACAAAGTAGAAAAAACTCCTCAACAATAAGAGAAATACTTATCTTTTTATAAACTTTAGCTTAAATATTAGTGAAAAAAATCCATAATGTTCAAGTTCTTCTGTTTTGAATGCTCTCATTGAGATACCCACAATATTGCCTGGGGCAGTATTTCAGGCCTGCTTAAGGCTTTTTCCAAATTGTGTCTAAATCATTAGAAAGTCAATGCAGTTGGCAGTCTAATATTTCTTCATCTAAACAGTAGCACTTAATAAGTATGACTGGATCAATTACTTAGTTATTTGAAAGCACTTTACATATATTAGTTCTACAAATGTTCATTCTTTTGATATTATTAAAGGAAGAGAGCCATGTGGAAGTGCTGCTATGGCCAGGTCCCTGCCTGGAATTCCACACACAGTGTCTTATTTAATCCTCACAACAGCCCGTGAGGAAGCCGAAGTGGGTGAGTGCTGTGCCTCACAGCAGGTAAATAGTAACTGTGTGACCTGGACCAAGTCGTGTGGTGTCTCCGAACTTCAGTTTTCTTGTCTTTGAAATGTGGATGAGGCCTGCTTCTCAGGTGTGTGTATATCAGATAATGTATGTGAAATCATAAAATTAAGCTGCAAAGTAATGGACAGATGGGTAGGGAGGTAGGTAAATGACTATAAATTCTAACGTACCATCTGTGGGTCCCTAATTCAAAGGTCCTTGACTCATTGCAAGAACAATTGATGCCAAAAGCAAGTGGTCAGATGGCTGTAGCATTCTATAAAGACCATCTTTTTATTCCAGTGTTATCCATACTTAGAATGTATATTGAGAGTGGAATTGGAATATTCCTTTTGATTATCTTAAGTGTGTAAATACGAAGTCCACAATACAGCATACATCATGATACAGAGGGATCAGCCCCAAATACCCTCAAAGCCAGGGATAGCAGAGGATAGAAGGAATCCTCCGTCAATTCAAGTTACACAAGTATGTCCCAAAAAATACCTTATGGTAATAACATGTTACTACTATAACATGGTTACATAAGACAGTGAGAAGGAGAGGAATTTTTCCTTAAATAAAACTTAGAACTTTTTTAAAATACATAAAACACAAAATAGTTAGCTAGAGAAGTATGAATATTCCAGAAAGCCTTGAGGCAAACACCTAGTTCTCTCTAGAAAGTGAAAAGATTGTAATTTATCCTACTCTATTGGTCCTGAGGAAAAAGGCCTGTTTTTCCTCAAAATTCTACCCATCACTCTGGCATTATGGGAATTTACAGAATGAACCTTCAGAAAATAATACAGCTAGGTTGAAAGGAACAGCATTTAATGAAGTGATTTCCCCCTGAAACTCAACAAGTTTTCTTATTACTGTTAACAGCAGAAAATTTTTCACGTCTGTAAGTTAGTGGCTAGTTTTTAATTTAGATCTTCATCACATAGCTGCCACTTGGAAAGCCTCAGCCTGT